ACTCATTTATACAGTACTGAGATTGCTGTTTTTACTGATCTTGCTGTTATGTGGTACCTCATTTCTAACATCTCATCTTAATTGGCCCATTAACCTCATCTCCTATGGGCTTAAAATTCCAGCTCCCAAAGATACAAACACCAGCAGCACTCCTTTTCTCCCTAAGCTCCTGTTCAGTGTCTGATTTTCAGTTCTTTGTTTTTTGACCCCTAAGAAACAATTCCCTTTCTGCTTGCAAGCTTAGGAATGCATGTAAGAAAGATTTTTGTTATACTTTAACATTTTTAGACTAGGAAAGTGACATGTCATATATTCTTAATATATCTTTTACTTTGAGGTTTTGCATAAAATAATATTTTGAAAACTCAATTTACTCACTTTTGAGAAGCTATTTGCAAAATAGAATAAATGTACTTTTATATAAGTTTTTAAAATTTTGAACAATTAAATTTTTCTCTATATATATTTTAAGAATATTTTAAAATCCAAAATCTGTAGATAATCATACATATCTAGAAATTATCTGCTAATTTAGATAATGAATATAGTTCTAGGTCAGTTAGTTTAAAATGATTTAAACTCAAACAATGTTGCATAAAAATAAAAGTAGACTATAAAAGAGAATGAAAAAATTTTTGGCGTGCTTTTAGAAGGACAAAAAAAATGCCTGAATGATAAAAAAGAAGAAAAATTATGAATTCTTTCCCTGTTAAACCAGCAGATGTCATGTTTCGTTGTTACAGCCTAAGATTATTATAAGGGCATTTCCTTAGTATTACTATGTATACTGTGTGCTTCTTACAAAACAAGTGTATAAATATTAAATATGATTGGCTCTGAAATCAGAGAACAAATTTGTGGGTTTTTTTTTTTTTTACTTTTAAGATAGATTTCTCAAACAAAGTCAGAAAGCATTTTTCCTTTATCAAGTTTATCCAAAAGAGGTTTAGTACAAAGTATGCTCTGAGACGTAGCAAGCATATTTATATTTAACTATAACTACACAAAATCATTTCTTATCAGTAATTATTTGTTACTAATCAATATTATTTATGCACTAGCTAAAAAAGCTTTTCTCATCCTTAATTCTAAGGTGGTACAATTATTCAACTAAAATAAAACTTTATATCAACATCCATATATCATCACCATATCTATTCTGTCCCAAAATTTATCTGTCATATGAGACACTGGAACTGGTCATCTCTATTTCTTTTTCCAATCTAATATTTCATGAAAAAAATATTACATATGATGTCACTCATATGTAATGCAGAATGTCAATGCAAATAAAATTAAGTATTTTCAAAATTACATTGAAAAGCCTTTGTAACAATCTGTAATTAAAAATAAAGATGAAGATAGAATTTTATAGTAAAATTGGATCTATTTAGAATATTCAAATGAGGGTTAAATTGTAGCTTAATTTTTCACAACCTTGAAAATAGATTTTGATAAACAAATTCATGTTTTCACAAGGTCATGAGAATTTTTTTTTAACTTCAGTGTCAAACTGCTTCAATAACTTGAAAAGTATTTATTTAGATAAACAATCAGTTCTAGTATTATGACAATTTGCATTTATGACATGCAGCTAGTTTACCCTTCTGGCAGTCAACAAAAAGCAGGATTAGAATACAGATAATAGAAACATTAAATGGAATTTATAAATAAGTGTGCTTAAAACAATTGAAATAATACACGAGACAGTAGGCAAATGTTTCATAGCACGCTAGAGATTTGAGACTGTGCCTTACCATAATGGCCATTTTGTGGACAGTCACCCATCTCGACCCTGCTAAATGGCAGTTAGGTATTGACTAAATAGCTCTAGTGAAGGGAAAATCATCCGTATTCAGAGAGGATTGCTAGAACATTTCTAAGCCAAAATATGTATCCTTTAATAGCCACTCACTGGCATTCATCTTATTTCATAGATCTGTTAAAATTTAGCCTGTGATGGAGTTTCAACTCTCAGAAAACTTCATTTGCCACTTTTTGAGAGATTTTTTTTTTCCTTTTCCATGCTAAATAGACTTTATTGTCTTCTCATTTCTATTTGAATGTATCATTCATTTTAAGAAAAAAGTGATAACTTAGAACTAAATCTAATACCCCTTGTATTTCCCTCTTGTCTAAAAAACAAAAGCAAGCCCCTCTTCTCCCTGTGCCCCTCAAAACAAACAAACAAAAAACAATAAACAAAATGAAAAACCAACCATTGAGACTGTTTGTCTCCTCAATTCAATCTAGACACTAATGTCTAATGAAAACACTCTAAGTTGACATTTCTCACTTAAAAAGCTCATTACTTCATTTATAGGTTTTGGATGCTTTTTATTTTTTTATTTTTTGCAGTACGTGGGCCTCTCACTGTTGTGGCCTCTCCCGTTGCGGAGCACAGGCTCCGGACGCGCAAGCTCAATGGCCATGGCTCACGGGCCCAGCCTCTCCACAACATGTGGGATCTTCCGGGGCACGAACCCGTGTCCCCTGCATCGGCAGGCGGACTCTCAACCACTGCGCCACCAGGGAAGCCCCTTGGATGCTTATTTTTAATCAAAACCCCTGGCTTTTTATCTAGGCTACTACTAAATGTACCTCCTCAGTAACAGTTTGGGAAATTTGGTCTCAAATACAGGATGTCAGTGATGTTTTGGATATTGATTCCTTCATTCAGTATATTGTGTTCCTCTCATCTAGATTTTGCTAAGTGTATGTGAACATGAATTTGTGCTATCATTTAGTTAGTAATAATAAAAATATCATACACGATATAGAAGAAATAAAATGAATGTGATGGCTCTTTTCCAGAGACCTCCTTCTATGCAAGATTGTTTGTATAGAGTTGATAATCCATTTTCAATAAAACTGAATGAATATTCATAGAACATTTTTTAATGCACACAGTCTTGATATAGGAGACTTTTCCAAATGTTACTAAAATTCAGATATTTAATTCAATGTATTTAATTTTACTAGTAAATCTGTCAAAAATTAAATTCAGTTCATCTGACATTTTTTCCTGGTCAACCTCACCAGGGTAATAGAGACCATCACTTTCATTCTTAGTGTTCAACATTCATACTTAACTATATGTTATAAATTCTTAAGAATCAACTCTTCTGCAATCCCTAGATGATAGATGACTAATGATGAAGAAAAAGAAAAACCCAGGTAAGATATATTCCTGCATACAGGAACCCAGGAGGAAAACCCCAGGAGGACATTTAATATTTAATCTAATTTCAAAAAAAAATCTGTTGAATAATGTACAACTTATTAAATCATAATCCAGTAAAAATTGCAAAGCTATTTGACAAGTTGGAGAAAATGTAAACAATTTCCAGGAAGACAGAGGCCATACCTCCTCGTTCATTGCCTAGAACACTACTTGGCATTCAATAGGCTCTAACTAAATATTGATTTAATAAATAAATGTATTATTGGTAAAAAATAGATGGTGTGAAAAAAAATCTATATTTCAGAATATCAAAAAGTTGGGATACTTCCCTGGTGTCACAGTGGTTAAGAATCTGCCTGCCAGTGTAGGGGACACAGGATCAATTTCCTGGTCTAGGAAGATCCCACATGCCTGGGAGCAACTAAGCCCGTGCGCCACAACTACTGAGCTTGTGTTCTAGAGCCTGAGAGCCACAACTACTGAGCCAACGCACCACAACTACTGAAGCCTGCACTCCTAGAGCCTATGATTGGCAACAAGAGAGGCCACCACAATGAGAAGCCCGCACACCACCATGAATAGTAGCCCCTGCTCACCTCAACTAGAGAAAGCCCGCACGCAACAATGAAGACCCAATGCAGCCAAAAATAAATTAATTAATTAAAAAAAAAAAGTTGGACATATAATTCCCATGGTCTGTGCAGTTTTCTATTTGGCAATTAAAAGACAAAAACTGAGATGGTTTATGTATGTTACATATACTATGTATACCTCACATATCCTTAAAATCTAAATAAAAGCCTTTTTTGTTATTGACCAAAGTTCTTGTGTTGTTAAGTTTTTGTTTGGTTAATTTCAGTTTAGTGACCAAAGACATAGATAATATAAACACAAATTGTCATCTTCACTGATTTTTTTTTTTGACAGTTGATCATTTACTTACTGATATACTTCTTTTTTATTATTTATTTATTTTTTCTGGAAGTATAGTTGATTTACAATATTATATTAGCCTCAGGTGTACAACATAATGATTCAATATTTTTATAAATTATATTCCATTTAAAGTTATTATAAAATGATGGTATATTTCCCTGTGCTGTACAGTATATCCTTGTTGCTTATTTTATACACAGTAGTTTGTGTCTCTTAATTCCATACCCCTATCTCACTGATATACTTCTGATTTCTAGGATGCCACATTTAAAATGTTCCTCCTGTTCACTGGTTGTTCTGTCTCAGACCTTTGTGGGGTTTGTTATCTCCTCTCATATCTCTTAACCTTGGATTGCCCCAGTGGTCAGACCTTAGCCTTTATCCACACACACTCCCTTGGTGATCTCATCAGTCTTATGGCTTAAATTTAAACTCTTATCTATATGCCTATGGTTAGCAAGTTATGTCTCCAACCCTGGCCTCTCCTGAGTTCTAGTCAAGTGGATCCCACTTAATGGCTCCATTTAGATCATTCAAATTGTTCAAAAATAATTTCCTGATCTTCTCCCCCCAAATTGGATCCTCCCATAGCTTTACATATCAGTTGATGGAAACTTCATTCTTCTGGTTGCTCAGACCAAAAAACTTGCAGTCATCCTCGATTCTTCTCTTCCTCTTACACTGCTTATACAACCAACCAGGAAATCTTGCATCTCTTCTCAAATTCTCTAAAATTGATTAGATTTTAATCACATGACTTTTTAAATACAAGAATTACTTATGGAACATGAAGTAGAAAGTAATAAAAGGGCATAAAGAATAAGTAAGTATGTTTAACTGTAACATGTCATTTAAATTTAAGGACTCTTTCTGTTTTTAGGAAAGGCCTATGCTCCAGAATTCTATTATGATACCTACAATCCTGTGTGGCAGAACAGACACCGTGTTTACTCCTACAGTCTACAGTGGACTCAAATGAATCCTGATGCAGTAGATCGGATCGTTGCATACCGGTTGGGTATTAGGCAGGTGAGGAATTTAATTGTCTTCTTTTATGTGTGTGTGATCCTCTGTGAAGACCTTGTTACTATGATGTGTTGCTATAAAGTTTTAATCAATTTGCATGAATTCCAGAATATATTTTTCTATATCAAAGATAATATTACCTTACCCAGAACTGTTCCAAATTATTTACAAATCTTTGAAATTAATTTATACATTTTTCACTATGACAGGAGACATATTAAAGTGAGCTTTCTGAAATCCTTCATCATTACATGTGCTATAGAAATTACATGGTATAATTTCTGTGAAAGAAACTAAGATGTTCTCACACTTACCTATACTACATAATTCTTTGTCTTGTTTCCTAAGCTAGATATTCTACATAATTTTATTCTAAGAGGTTCAAACTATATATAGGATTTTTAAAAGCTAATTTAATGTGTCTGTAGAATAGAAATGTTTTGGTAAAATGAGAAGAAACAATGAAATATGATGTTTTCCTAAGGTAGCTGAAGATTATAGATTGTGTAAAAATATCATAGCTTTTTCAAATGAACCACTGTTAAACTCAGTTATCCTTCGTTGGTATAAATGATATTTTTGAAATTTAAATGTAGGTCTTTACATTATTTCCTGTTACATAGTAGGTTATCTGGAGTGACTATTTCAGCATAACAAAACGTTTTTGAAGATTTATTAGATTACCACATAAGCTATTAGCTCTCTTTCACATCTTTGTATTATCCATAGATTTGTAAAATGTGTTTTCCACTTCCTTAGCTAAATCACACAATAGCATTTTGAGTTTGGATAGTAGAAAGGACAGAATTTGCTTGGAGAAAGATTGGTCGACCATCAGCAATCCACTACTATCATAAGACCAATGTTTTTTTTTAATCTTGTTAACAAAGTTATAATAAAAGACTATGTAAGATACATCATTAAAATTAAGATACATTGTAAGTTGAATATTCTTATCCTTCTTGTCTAAGTATTCACAGGTAGACATGGTAGACAGGAATGGATCATTTGGAAACTTTCTCTATTACTCTCATTTACTTTGGTCCCTAAGTAAATCTGAGTAAATCCCAAATCCATATCAAAATCATTTATTGTACTCATTCTAATTTAATGATAATTTTTCTTGATAGAGAAGATAGAAAAAAGAAAGATCAGCAGTCTCCCTTGGTTTATGGGCTTATTCCTTTCTTTTTCTTTTCTCAACACAGTTAATATTTTTAGATCTTTTATATTTGGAGCATCTTAGCACATTCTTGATTTTAGACACCTCACATTCATTTCCAAGTCCTTACTACATGATTTGGTCATTCACATTCATCTTTTATTACCCTATGTTTTCAAAAATCTAAGAACCTAATACCAAATTGCTATTTGTAAACTTGAATCATTTTATTTAGGTGTCTTTTCCTTTTTTCTGGTTATAGGTTTTTTTGCAACAATAGAGTCAGAATTTCATCTTTAGTTTCTCACTTTCTTCCTCAGCTATATTTTTTTGGAGTGTCTGGGTAACTGCCCTTTGCTTCCTGTATGCTGAAGGGCTGCCTGTTTTAATCTGCTGAATTAATTTACCCAACCCTACTCATCATTCCTTTCTTTTATGCTAACAGTCTTCTAAACATTTGTTCCCAAAGTCTCCATTATGTATGCAACTCACCTTCTCCATGAGTCAAATTTAACAGAATGATTACTATCTCTGTCCTCCCCCTCAACTGGAGCGATTTTAGGAGAATTAGACTTCCTCCTAAGAGGGATCCACCTAATTAAAGCCCTTCCTTCTCATCCATATCTTGTACTAGTTATTAATACACTACCTTCTATAATTTTTTTTGCTAGGATTGCTATGCTATTTTCCAATGACAGTTTCTCTTCTTAGATTTTCCTTTCCTGATATGAACATCTCCTCTAAATTCTTGTCTTTATGTTTCCTGATCATAAAAATAGTATATAACTCCCTGATATGCAGTGACACACATTTCCCAGTTTGTGTTCATCCTTGTGAACAAATTAGTTAGGTAATTTCCCCCTACTCTGCTACTTTAGAATACATTATATATGCATGCATAAATGTGTATAAATTTCCCCTTACTGTGTTTTGCGAAAATTATGAATTCCTGACACATCTGGCTTCCGATTCTAGCCAATCTAGCCTTATCATTTTTAGCTGTATAACCTTGAACAGGTTTCTGAACATACCAAACCTAGGCTCCTACCTGGGAAGTTGAAGATAATGATACCTGTCAGGCAGTCAAAGTGTGGAGTGGAATACATCCCCCATTTACCCCACAGGCCAGGTTCCCTTGTGCAAGGCACTCTCTGCACAAACATCTATGGCAATTCTTGCACTCATCTGCCTGGGTTGTGTAACAGTTTTTTTAAGTGCATCTTAAGAGCTTAACATATCTACTATTTTTATTTCAGTTTTATTTAGTACACTGTATAACCTGAGCCTAAGTATTATTCCAAGCCATGATTTTCACAAAATAATTTCTAGACATTTTTTTCACTATGTCTTATTTTTATTTCAAACCTGCTGTCCTCCATAATATCCATTTTACTGATTCACATTTTTCTCTTCCACTTTGAGTCTTATTTTAAAGCCTTCCTGATCAGATCGATAAGTCTGCTGATAACACTATTCTTCCCAAGTTTGTGAGATTCATGCTATGCACTAGAGGAAAACATATTTCTAGTGTTATAAACCATGGTCCAGAAAACAATCCTTCCTCTTACACAATTTCTGAAGCTAATTCTTTACTTGCCTTAGCATTATTTATTTTACTAGAATTTTCTTTTATATTTGAAACAAGTATTATTTTTTCCTAGAGTGCTTCTTTTGTAATACTCTATTTATTGATAATTTTACTAAGATACTACATCTTGCCATGGAAGAGAAACTTTGATATATCTTTTGTGGGTGTCTCAATAAAGAGTAATGGCCTTCTGCTGTTCTGCCAATATGAATGGAAAGGAAATGTTTGTAGATATGGTGTAGGAACAGAAAGATCATGTATAAACACTACTCTTTTCCCCACTCCCATATTCTCTACACTTAACCCTTACATGAAAAATCTTAACATGCAAAATGGCCTCAATAGACATCATTTCTTTTGAAGATCCCCTTGCATACCAAAATTGAGGATGATAGGGCAGATGCATTTTAGATACAATGAAATTGATATAATTCTTTAAGAATATCCCCTGTTTAATAATAGGACACAAAGTCATTAAGTAAAATAAGATTATATTATCTTAGAAAATTCAGGTATGTACATTTGGTTATCAACATTGTTTTAACACACAATCAGACACTAGCATTTAAAATAATCACTCTTGAATTCTGATCTGATGATCATTTATGTTACATATTTTATGATTTTAAAATTGTTATTTTACCCTATATTTTTATTTTGAGCCTATATATCTAATTTCTTCTATCCATAAATTATCTAGATTATCTAATGAAAAGTACTTCCACTTTTAATATCAAACATGGACCTAAAGTGTACAACACAATTCTGATTCGATGAGGTCTGAGAAGCAAATTTGATCCGTTAAGACTCATGGCAAATTCAGTTGTAAAGTGTCCGACTTTGTGGGGTTTTTTTGTTTTTGTTTTTTTTGCGATATGCGGGCCTCTCACTGTTGTGGCCTCTCCCATTGCGGAGCACAGGCACCGGATGCGCAGGCTCAGTGGCCATGGCTCACGGGCCCAGCCGCTCCGCAGCATGTGGGATCTTCCTGGATTGGGGCACGAACCCGTGTCCCCTGCATCGGCAGGCAGACTCTCAACCACTGCGCCACCAAGGGAGCCCAGACTTTGTTTTGAATCCACAAACGGTTAGAAACTTTATTACTTACTCTTAAATTAAGTAAGATTATAAAATTACTAGTAAATTATTAAATCCCTGTCTGGATGGGGTTGGTAAACTGAACCCAGCATTCCCCCACCTTTCTGGTAAAATTAGCTGACCCTTTTGGTTAAACTGTAGGGTCTTTATTTAAATATAATGAGGAAAATTGTCTCACAATTTGAGTATTGGCTTATACACTTTTCTTAAAAGTTGCTGCAGTCAATCTATAAAAAAGCACTGGAATTCTGGAATCACTGCTTTAAAAAACTTAAAAAGAGAACAGATATTTCATGTGAAGTTAAAAAATTAGTGTGGAAAAAAAGTTTTCTCAAAATCTTAATGTCCTTAAGTTGTACTTTGTAGGCTCAGCTAAGCAATTGTTTAATCTCCTTAGACAGCTACTAGCCTGCCAATTGTTTGCTTCATTTGTTGCTTAACAGGAAAGAGAAAAAGGTTATTTGAATGTCTCTTTCCTTAGTATCTAAGGAATTAAGAAACAAGCAAAACTATTTCTGAATTATCTGAATATACCAAACACCACAAACATCATTTGACTCCATTTAACATACACACTATAGGTTCTGATAATAAAGGATTTTAGACTTTTATACAGTTTCCTTTTTATACTCCACCTAAGACATGCACAATGAATGTGACTTTTTGACTGTCATCTTTGGAAAGTGGGATATTTTATTGAATAAAATATTTTAATTCACCATGTTCCTGTCTTCTTAAATCTTGATATATTAAAATGCTTAGAATTATCATACCCACATGCTTACCCACTCAGTCAACAAAACGTTTAGTAAATTAATCATCTAGTGAATACCAGGATTTTTAAAAAGTATTGTCCTCAATGTCCTGTTAACAAAAGTGCTGTAATAGGAGCATGTCCAAAATTCCATAGTAACATGAATGGGAGCAGTTAGTACTGTGACATAGTGGTGAAGTGACATGATCAGCAAAGTAGAGACTTGTTAGTTTCTATAGGTTTATCTTCATAAATAGTTATTGTTAATAATGACTAATTAAGAAATCACTAATCACAAATACGCTTTTTGATAAAATTGATTACTGGATGAATTTATTATAAATTTTATTTTGGTCTTCATACGTGCTACTATAATGATTGAGCTAGAGTTTATTTCTCCT